ACACACTGACAAGGTTTTCCAATATCCCTGCGTTGTCTTCAGACACCACACACTGTTTTAAGCCGACATCCTGGAGCAGCATCCTGGAGATGCGTGAACCAAAGACAACATGTTAAAAGAACAGTTAATGTAGCCACTGGTCATTGTTGTGATATTTTATTTATTTAATCTGACGATTTCTGTTTATAGACGGTTTTGTAAGTATATTACAGTAACCGCATGAGGTTTAAAATATCTCTGGTTTAATTTATCATGCGTTAACAGCTTAATCCGTTTAAAATTGCTGACAGAGTAGGCGTGGATGTTGTATTCAGGAGCCGTGAAGACTGAATGGTCCTAAACTAGTACCTGCATATTACGACTTTTCTTTTATTTATTATATTTTTAAAATTGTGGCTTCAAAACTGCCCACAACCACCCTAAGTATGTATTAAATTCAGAGATCCTACAAAAATACATTTTGTTCCATCAAAGGGAGTCATTTTAGAAGCCATTCAGAGTTTGTGCTTTTCTGGTCAGTTGATTCCAAATGTTCCTGCTTTTGGAAATGATAAAATCATTTTTAATTTGCCACATGTTTGTTTTCCTTTTGAAAACTCAACCTGTTAATTCAAAATGTTGTAATTGCACAATGTTGTTGACAGACCACAACAAAAAAAATGCTCAGAATTCCTCGCTAGATTTTAAAACGGCCCAGACTGCTTCCTCTTATGTAAATTAAGCAGGAGTACGCACCAGCATGCACCTCTCCAGAGCCTGAAGAGCCCCTATCTAAGGCTGGAACTCTAAATCGAATTTGGTGTATTGAAAAGTTCCACATTTGTGACCAAATTTGGACTCAAGCTGATCCAAATTTTTTGCACAGCCTTGTTCAAAGCCCGAACCACCTTGAGAAAGAGAACACCCAATAATACGGGCAAGCACCAAACCACACTATCAATACCAAAGCGTACAAAAACAGATAAGAAATGTAAGTTCACAAGCATTAATAGCGACAACATAATACTAATAACTACATTGGGGCCTTATTTTCATCCACACTTTTCTACATGAAGGTAAGCGGTAAGGTTAAATGATATTATAGTCTCAGGACAGGACCACAATGTCATCTCATTATAATGTACCTCCCCGCTGTGCGTACATGTCATCGTGATTTCCTTTTACATCGTCTCATCTCATTAGATCTTCAGCCATGCTCGCAGCTTGACTCTAGGGATGTCCATGTGTGTTAGTCGTCCCACCCCTTTGGTCAAGACTGAAATATTTTAACGACTGTCTGATGGACTGACATTCGTGGTCCCCAGAGGATGAATTCTTAAGACTTTGGTCGTCCCCTGACTTTTCCCGTAGCGCCACCAACACGTTAAAGTTTTTAAGTGAAATATCTCAACATCTAATTGATGGTTTGGCAGAAAACATTTCACAGATATTCATGGTTCCCAGAGGATGATATCTTATGACTTCGGTGATCCTCTGACTTTCCCTCTTGCGCCACCATGAGGTTGACATTTTGTGGTATTGAGTGAAATGTTTCAATAACCATTGAATGGAGTATAAGCATCTTAAAGGGGCCACTTGTACTGAAGCTGCAGTAGTATACTTTAAGAGATCTCTATTAAAAGCATTTATCGTATTGTTAAAATGCATGTCATTCTGCTGTAAGGAAATCTCTCTGTCTTTTCATCATATTTGTGTATTGAGAAGAGAGTATAAATAGTCGAACAGCATGTCACTTATACCAAACCCACTTCTGTCCATTAATTCACTGCTGGAGCTGATCCACTGGGCCCATTAGCACTAATGAACGTCACAGCAGCCACACTCTCAAGCATTCATCTGCCTGCAGAATCAGACTGTTAAAATGTTTCATTGAAAAAAGTATTAACGTCTAGACAAAGAGCTGTATAGTTGAAAGTAATGTTTATCTCAAGTTGTAAACAAATGTGAAAAATGTGTGTACACATATCACTAATGCATTTGCACTTTACAACCCATTTTAAAAAGAAAACACGTCTCTCTTTGTCTCTTCCTCATTACAGACCTGTTTTGGTTGATTTGGGTTTATTATTAAAGTCCATAATAATATGTTAACGAGCAGCATTGTGGTGAATTTAAAATGCTCCACAATAACATCAGCAGGCTCGGAAAATGAGTTTTCATCACACCTAAAGAGTTACACAAGCCTTAGGGAACACGGCCCAACCAGAGGTGGTTAAACTCTATCATATTGTTACAGTCACAACAAGATAATTGTTATCTGAACATTATACAGCAGTAACCATCTCTCATTTTACCCCAGTTACTAATCTGACTTTCTTGTAGGTGTCTTGACACTTTGATGTCTGGCATGTTCTTACGGGCCGTCTATGTAACTGTAGGCTCCAGGCTTTGTAGGTTCAAGAATTTAGGGAATGTCAGTAGGTGTGTGTGTGTGTGTGTGTGTGTGAGAGAGAATGTGTGTTTTCGACACATTCATGTTTTTCTCTGTGTGTTATTAGGCATAATTTCAAGTACTTGTAACCCCTGGGTTGTAAAGAGTCACATTCTTGTCTCACAACAAAACAGCTGACTGCAATCTAGTCAGAAGTCCTCCATTGTAGTCAATTTCTGTGTAGAGAGAGGTGTATCTCTTATTCAGCCTATACTCATTGATATAAATGGGGTAGACAAAATAATAGAAACAACTGGCAGTATAATGCAATACAACTTAACAATTTGCGATGCAGAATCAACCACTCTCTAAATTATTCATGGTGGTAAGATTTATTGCAGGACTGCTGCAACAGCTGTTAAATGATACTGTAGAAGACTGTATTTTGGCGACTAGGGAAGTTTATAAATATGAAATGGTGCATTCCTGCAACATCTGGTCATTTAAATTAGGTCCTGGGCTCTGAAAAAAGGTCATTGATGACGTAGAAAATACACTCATTTACCAGTTTATTAGGTACACCTAGCAAAAACCAATAGAGTGTAATACAATGAGGCTAAACTACAGTTTCCTAAAATTACAGTTGAATCATCAATAAGAAAAACTGAATACTATTACCTTCATTAAGTTCAATTGGTTAAGGTTTATTGTTTTAGCTAGGCGTACCTAATAAGCAGGTAACTGATGCAATCTATTGTAACATGTTTGATCAACTCTGTGTATATTAGTACAGATACAGTAACATGGGCATGATTTGGAGTTATTGCTATACAGGTAATTGGTGAAGGATGTCTGGGCCTCGTTTCCAAAGCTTCTTATAAGTGTCTGTGTGTTTGTGTATGTCTTTGTGTGCATGGGCGGCCATGATGCTTATTTGATTTGGACCCACTCAGACACTGGGCTGTGACTCTTTCTTTTTTTTCTAACAATGCGTATTCTGTGAGGCTTTTACACAATTACCCTTTCAAGTTAATTTGTACATCTGTAAAGCATCATGGATCTATTTTCTCTGGATTTCATTTTAGACTTTTTCTGGGCATGAAAGACTTATTCATTTTTTTTTTTTTAGCTTTTCATCCCTGAAGCATGCAGCCATATTGTAGTTCTGCTTTTCCACCACTACATAGTGTCTCTTTGTCCCGGCTGTTTTCAGGAAGCAGAATTGCATTTTCAAGCTCTTCTAAAGCCTGATTAGCGTTTATTGAACGCAGTAATAGAGAATGATGGCTGTATCATGAGCCAATGAATGACTGTTCACTTCTGAGATATAATAGCTTGTGAATGGACTCCATCTTTGCTGTAAATCATTATTCTGCTGTGGAGTAACTTTATCTCACTGTGAGTGTGTTTGTGTCCGAGTTAAAGTGTATCTGTAGCTCATTCTGCCTGCTCGTCCTAACACCCGACTGGCAGTGACCGGAGAATTCTGAGGTCTGTGTGAGCAGCCTGGAAGTCATCTCCCCCAGCAGATGGCCATTATTAGTGACAATGAAGACTATCCCACAGGGCCAAATAGAATAACAGGGAGCCCATTTCCTCCTTGGCTGTGCATGAACCACCTATACTGCTAACAACCTCTCTCCTTCCCCTTCACTCTCTTCATCTTCTGCTGGGGAATGTATTGTTTTTCCATGGCTGTATCCAAGTTGTTGGGGTTTTTTTTTTTTTCCAACCAGAAGTCTAAATTGGTTCCTGTAGTGATGTTACAGGAGAGGCGGTGCACACATGCACTAGCACATGCGCAACAAACGTGAATTCTCCTAATTCAACACAGGTTCCCTAGAGATAGAGTTAAATGGGCCCTTATTCAGTATGGAGGCTAATAACAGCACGTTGATGTGTTGGCTTAAGTTCAGTTCACATCAACAGTTGACAACTGCTGCGCTCACTGCATTGTACAATGGTAGTTTGTGTCATCCACAACTTCTGTCTCTGCAGCACAGTTAGCCACTACTTATCAAGTTTCACTTTAAGCAAAAACAGATTCTATTAGCATTAGCACAACTTAGCATTTGAGCCCTAATGGTGAAGTAACTGGGAGAAGTGAACCTCATACAGAAAACGGCATTGAACACATGTAAAAGCATTTGTGCTGCAAGGCAAGTTTATTTGTATAGCCCCTTTTAGACACACAGAGGCAGGTCAAAGAACTTTACATAAAGCAAAGTAATGAAATCTAAAAACACGTCAATGGAAAATTAAATAAGGGGTGGGTAATCTTCAGTTTAATGGCACTAACCAGCATTTATCAGCTTTAACAGCAGCCTAGCAGTCAGCACTTTGGTGAGAGTTTTTAAAGCAACATAAGATAAATTGCACAGCTCCAAAGAGGCCAGATCATCTGTGGCCAAACTGCAAAGTCAGAAAGAGCTAAATTATGTAATATGTCAAAGAGAGCAGCCCTGAAAAACACAACACAAGACAAGCTGCATTACCAGAAATTAAACTACAATTAAAAACCCACTAATAGGGACCTGATGGTCATGTACAACAGGGGGTGAATGACGTATACAGTATTGAAGGAACAGTAAACTAACATCCACGTCTTCTCTGTCTCGCATCTTTACAGGAACAGTAAAAAGGAGTCTGACCTGGAGGCAGCTCTGGTCAGGCTCAGGGACCTGGAGAGCCTGCTCAACTCTAAAGATGCTTCCCTCAGTACCGCCCTTGGGGAGAAGCGAACCCTGGAGGCCGAGGTGAAGGACCTCAAGCACCAGCTGGCCAAGGTAAAAACATTTTTATTAGAACTGAAGTTCTTCTTATTGTAGGCAGGAAGGAAGACGTTTTTCTGGTTCAGGGCAAATAAAAACCCTTCCAGAAACACATGTTATTTATACTGTTCTGGCACCGCAAGCACCTACGCTATTGTCAGGATCTTTTCAGTTACAGAGGATGTCTTCCCTCTTACACATCACTATAAATTGTAAACAGAAAACATTGTGGCCCTGTCACGGTTTACATGTGGTTAACCTCAGACTTGCAGTGATTGTAATGAGAGAACAAGTTTAAAATCCTTGGTTGCCACCTGTGCAAAAGTGCAAAGCCACAATGGTTGACATTTAAAATGATTGTCTCTGTGTGGGCGCAGTCTCTACCTCCCTAAGTGCAGAAATGCCTCAGTAATAATTTTATGAAAACCCTCCAGGCACTTGATTATGAATGAGGGAAAGGTGGTGAAGCAGACAAGGTTGCATTCTCTGCTATTTGTTTTATCAATGAATTTTACCATAGGACTGATGTAGATACAGCTGTGGCCTTGCTCCACCTACTGGCCACAATAAGGAAATGCAGTTTTTCTATTAAAATAATTGATATGCTGCACAGATCACACCATGAGCTGCGTCTGATTTTTTTTTTTCCCCCTCATATATGCCTCCATTATGCAAAGAGCATTTCTCTCATCTCAGTTCTCTCCTCATCTTGTCTTTTCCTCCGCCTCCTCTTCCTCCCTCCCAGTTGGACGGTAAATTAGCCGATGCCAAGAAGCAGCTGCAGGATGAGATGCTGAGGAGAGTGGACGCCGAGAACCGCCTGCAGACCGTGAAGGAGGAACTGGAGTTCCAGAAGAACATCTACACCGAGGTTCCCACTCTTCACCTTAACCCTTCTATTTTTATTCATCTGTCCTACTTTTCATCTTTTCCACAGGATATTGATTCTCTTCCAACCATCTGCGTGTTTGCTTTGCATCTCTGGTGCAGATCTGTCTCACAGATGCATGTTTTTGCTTTTCACCTCTCTTTTATTTTATTTTCACACAAATGATAAAAATAAAAGCAGAACTACGAAAAAAAAAATTAAATGCTTAGATTTCAATTCTTGCCATAATGAAGTCTCAGTTGTGACAATGTTCTGGTTCTAGTCAAGCCTAGACCAAAACTGACAACAGACGTGTGTTTTCCAAATGCAAACATAATGAGTCGGAGTTGCTTAAAGGTCAACAGAGAGGTAGATTCCTCTGTTTGAGCCCTGTACTTCTAAACAAGTAATTACTGCACAGCGACTGACTAATCAATGCAATTAAGTTCATTGACCATAGCAGGTTTCTACAAGTTGAGTCTTTAAAATTGTTTATAGTGCCAGAAATTAACCAAACTAATCAATACAAATTACTATTTTTTTAAATAAAGTAATTAAAGTAATAAAGAGTTGAGAAGGTCAAATCAGCTAAGCGACTAAGGCAACACCATGAAACAGCAAGTAAGCGCTCTTGAGACTGATAACCATTAGCAAACCCGTCTGTGTCTGTAGGAGCTGCGTGAGTCCAAGCGTCGGTACGAGTCTCACATGGTGGAGATCGACAGCGGGCGGCAGCAGGAGTATGAGAGCAAGCTGGCTGAGGCCCTGACTGAGCTGAGAAACCAGCACGAGGAGCAGGTCCGCCTCTACAAGGAGGAGCTCGCGAAGACCTACAACTCTAAGGTACGTCTGGATGCTGCAGGAGACACAGCTCTGTCAACAACTAGAGTCAAAGTAGTAGCAGTAGCAGTAGCAGTAGTAATGTATTTGTTTTGTATACAAAGGATGCATACACGATTTTTACAGTTAATCAGGGTTTAAATTTCTTTTTAGCTTGTGTCTTGCCTTTTATCTACATATAGAAGGGAAATTAATTTAAAAGGCATAACCACTGTCTTGTGGGAATCTTAAAAAGAAAATGTGAATAAACACAACAGGAGTTTTTTGTTTGCTGTACTAGATCCCTTGAGAAATCTATTTTAGGAATTTCTTTAGGAGTTTCTTAATGAGTTAACTTCACAAGAAGGATTGCAAGAGACAACAAGCTAAAGAGTTATTTTTATCGTTGTTTTGTCTTCAAAAGAGTTAAAATACTTTGTTCATTAAATGATGACGTCCCCTAAAATACAGTAAACACAAATCTGTATTTCAAACAGCACAGTTTTTTCAGTGCAGTAAACCACTGCTGATAGCTGACTGTACCGTCTCTCTGTCTGTCAGTTGGAGAACGCCCAGCATTCGGCTAACAGGAACAACCACTTGGTGGGAGCTGCCCATGAAGAGCTGCAGCAGACCCGTGTCCGAATGGAGGGCATGTCAGGCCAGCTCAGCATGCTACAGAAACAGGTATACACACTCACACTCATACAGCCTGTCAGTCGCACTGTCAGTGGTTTGTTATCTCTCTGCTGGTTTTACTGGCCACGCTGCTCTGTGGATGACTGATATTATGACGAAAGCACCAAAACACAGTTTTTAACTGTTTCTTCAACTCTAATCACCATTGATTGATTTAATGGTAATCTTCACCTGGCACATCGAGTGTTTGTACTGTTACAAGTATTTTAATGGACTAGTAGTGTCTTAATGGACTAACCATTGTATGTGTGTCCTCTCTAAATCAGCTGTCAGCAAGCGAGGCCAAGGTGCGGGAGCTGGAGGACGCTCTGTCAAGGGAGCGGGACCTGATGCGGCGGCGGCTGGAGGATAAAGAGCGGGAGATGACTGAGATCCGTGCTCGCATGATGCAGCAGCTGGAAGAATACCAGGAGCTGCTTGACATCAAACTGGCCCTGGACATGGAGATTAATGCTTACAGGAAGCTGCTGGAGGGAGAGGAGGAGAGGTGGGGTTAAGTTGTTGTAAAAGAGACGCTCGACCATTGAAAAACATAGGCACCTTGAGACAAATTCATGTCTACAGCTTGTTACAGGAAGGGAGGAATCACTAATAAGATAGAACACAAAAAGTCATTACTCTCTCTACTGACTGAGCACTCAAAGGAAGGCGGCGAGAGTTTATGAAGTGTTTTGATGCAGATTTTTCTAAGAGGCTCCAAGAGCAGTTTTTCCTTGAGCAGTTCTAGTTCGGGGCTCTTGGAGCATCAAAGGGTTAGGTTTAAGAGCAGTAAGGATGGGATATAAAAAGGCACTTCACCAACAATGTGTGACTGTATCAGTATGTAACACTGACTGCCTTGGTCGTCTAAATCTATCATCTAAATCTCTTCCTCCCTCTTTCCTCAGGCTGCGTCTGTCACCCAGCCCTCCACCCACCAAGGTCACAGTGACACGGACCTCCGGCTCCGGCCACGGCCACACCAGCCGCCTGCTCCAGTCTGCCGCCACCGCCTCCAGCAGCCGCAACTCCTCCGGCACCAGCACCAAGAAGCGCCGCCTCAATGACAATGATAGCGAGTCCTCCAGCATGGTGGGGGGCACTGTGACTAAGACTCGCATTAGTCAGCACGCCTCAGCCAGCGGTCGCATCACGGTGGACGAAGTTGACCTGGAGGGCAAGTTCGTCCGTCTCAGCAACAAGGCCGACGAGGTAAGTGTCTATCAGTATAATCTATCTGCAGGCTTTTCAGACCCTTTTAAGCAGGCTAATACGGTTTTATTTTAAAGTTAAAGCAATTACTTATAGTTCTACAAACCTGATTTATTAGATGTAATAAAGACTTTCCTGGTTACGTAATACATAACTAACATTTTCTTTCATGTTTCAATATTCTAAGAAGGACAGGTGTAATATTGCTTCAGCCTACACCTTTTCAGTCTGTTAAATGTTTTTACTGTCCAGATTAAGATTAGATTTTTGTTTTTTAAATTGTCTGTCCCATCTTCCATCTCTCTTCCCATGTGTCTCCTGCAGGACCAATCTCTGGGCGGCTGGCAGGTGAAGAGACAAGTAGGCAATGCTAGCCCCATCGCCTACAAGTTTCCACAGAAGTTCACTCTGAAGGCTGGAGGAACTGTCACTGTAAGTTACTCTGAGTTTTGTAGATCTGTCTGTTTATTGATCTGTACATTGTTGATTGGACTTATTGTTTGCCTAGTAATAAAGGTACTTTTTTCGATTTCGCCATTAGTAGTGCTATGGAGCAGTATTTTGTGGGTCCCTGTTTTGTTTGTGTCATGCACATGCACATGCGCATGAGCATGCGAATGACATAATGCACATTCCTGCCAATGTTTTCACACTTTTTCACTGATTGACAGGCGGCAGTAATGCGCCACGAAAGTATCATTGTGCCAAAATTCAGGGCAGAACTGCAAGCTAGCAAAAATGGAAATATTATTTTTTCAGAAATCAGCTTAAAAAATGTTTTATGTGTTTTTTATATGTATAAGGAAATGCATTCAACAAACACGGAACACTTTTTTGTTAAGAAGAAAACTCCACAGCGAACCTTTTTAACTATTTAATATTTTGGTTTCTTTCAGTAGCAGCTTAAAAAGTGGCATTCATGATCTCTTGCAAACCTTTGACCTTTGCAGATCTGGGCTGCATCTGGCAATGGAACCCACAACCCCCCCACTGACCTGTTGTGGAAGAGCCAGAACTCCTGGGGCACTGGAGACCTCCTGCAGACCATCCTCATCAGCGCCAATGGAGAGGTCAGCTGTCACCTGTATTTGTTTGAGCCTTTCCTGTATTTATGCTCCTTTTAACTGCAATAACTAAATTATTTTGTCATTTTTATTCACCATCAGGAAATGGCCATGAGGAAAGTAACACGCACCCTGTTCCAGGATGATGAGGATGATGACATGGTAAAGTCCTCTTCTGTTTAGGCAACTCACAAAACGCCATATATTATGCATCAGGAACCACACAGCTTCCCAGCTCCCTGTGACTGCAGGCGAGCAGCAGTGTTCAGTAACTCACCCTGTTGTGTGTCGCCCCCTGCAGGGAGCTCACAGCACAAGCGGCGCAGACAATGAGTACAACTTGAGGAGCCGCACAGTGATCTGCGACTCCTGCGGGCAGACGTCAGACCGCTCCGGTGTTTGCAGCAGCGGGGGTCTACCTGAAGGCCTCGTAGGACATTCCTTTTTCATGGGCAGCAATGAGCCCAGACAGGTACTATACAGTTATTGTAAATGATCAACAGCAGTCACACAGCATACAGCAGAAAAGCATTGTATTGTATATAATTAAAGTATTTGCATTACTGATTAAAATAGTTTGATGATGTACTGTGCAAAGCATTTGATGTTACTCAAAACATCAAATAACAACTAAATCACTACTGAAAATGGCAGAAGTGCAGGCACCAGGACGGTATTGGCGTTTCAGTTAGATACAAATAAAATCAACGGCGACTGTGGAAACAACAATGCCATGTTGCGTAGGTTGCTATAGCAATAAACAAAGAAGATGGCATATGTAGTGTGAAGGTAACAGAGGAAATTTCACAGCCATAAACAGCCATAAAGTTTGACTGAGATGAACTGAAAACTCCACAGAGCAGCTTCACCAGTTAAATCCAACAAGACACCAAAAGGAAAGTTGAGAGAGGCGTATCAATACACCAGCTTATGCCTCACACACATAAAAGGATTAAAACAACCCCAAAAATGACAAAACAAGCTCCATATTTAACTCTGTGTGTAACGTATTTGCAGCAAAGAGAGAGAGGGACTGTGAGATGTTTGCAGGAAACCTTTGGGGTTCCCTATTTGCTTTGATTGGCTAAGTCTCCAATCTGATGTTTCTGGTTGAAAGTCAACATTTTCAGCGTCAATGTGATTTTTAACTACTAGGAGGATGAACAAATGGTGCAAAAGGATCCTTGGTGATATGAATAAGTTATTCTGAAATTAAACCATACAAACCTTACTATTAAAAGAAACTGGTAATGCCTTATTTTATAGGTCTGTATTTTTCAAATAATTCCACTCATGGAGAAATCTTAAGTTTTTGCATGCTCGGCTGACCTGGGTGGTCACTGACACTGTTGGCCACGACAGACATTAATTGATTATTATGAGTTTCATTGTCTCTACAAAACGTTTTTTGCAAACGCTGACTCATATTACTGTCAAAATAAAAGAAACCAAACAAAACATAATATTTTACGGAATTACACAATTACAAAAGCAGTGCATTACACTTTTCTGTTGATTATATTGTATGCTTTACTGGAAAAAGGAACGTTATTACATTAGAGAAATAGAAAACAGCTAATTAGTGTCCTGACTGTGTTTTTGTCATAGATCTTGCTAACCGAAGTCATCTTATCCTTTTACCCAGTTTAATTGTTTGATATAATTTAGTGTAATAATACAGTTTTCTTATTTTCTGCACATTTAACGCTGCTCTTTGTCACTTCCTCCTTCAGGGCCGCGTCAAGCCGGAGAACTGCTCCGTCATGTAAAAACCAGACAGCACCTCACCTCCTGTAGCCCATAAAGGAGAATAATTTTCTACCATTGGGATGTTTCTCTTTATTTTTTTATATGATCTTGTCTTATTTTGTACTCAGATTAATCTGTGGGTTAAATTTTGCTTTTAGGTTTTGGCAAAGGGCACAGGATTTTCATATTAGTTTTTTTTTTGTATTTTCAAGTTATGTTATTGCATGTGTGCCTGCTAATGCTTGTATTGTATCCTGCTTTTCTTGCACGCACATACACACACACACACACACACACACACACACACACACACACACACACCAAGCTCCATTGACCAGTGCTTGTGCTTCGATCCGAGTCGGGGTTTCACATTTAATGGCCAGGCTGTCAACACTCAACACGCACAGCTAGTGAACCCTGTCAGGAATAAGTCTCTATAGCCATACAGACAGCAGGAGAATGAATCTTGAGGGGTTTGTTTATCATGTTTGTCGCCCATCAAATAGATCAGATCTTTATTTGTTAATTAAGATGTTTACAGCTGAAATTTGTTTTTTAGGAACAGTATTGTGTTCTCTTGATATGCTACAGAGAAACAAATTACATAAGGTTTTTTTTTTTTTTTTAACTATGTTGGAAAAGTCTCCAAAGAAAGCCAAAGTACTGTAAGCTCAGGGTGTACAGTGGGTTTTTTTCACCTCAGCCTTAGACAAACATGTCGTAGTACATTTTCTACAGTATGTAGATTTAGATCATACGGTTGGGCAGCTGTGGGGCAAATATTTAAAATTGAAAAATATATTATTATGAGAGGAATATATTTTTTCTGCAGTCCACAGCTCAGCCCCAGAGAAATGTATTGGGTTTTGTTTTTGAATGTGTATTAAAATAAGGAATTATCGTTTGCTGGATAAGTTGAATATACCCAGTACATGCGTATCTCGTTTTGAAGTACATTTAAATGTGTTGCCTTATTTCTTTTTTATTTTTAAAGAAATTCCAAAGATGTTTTGCTATGATGATAGGAAAATGTGTTTACTACCCATAGAAATATCAGGAATAGGTTCTATGTTTGGAGTCTACTGACAAACTTGGTGCCATATATACAATATATATTGATATCTCAGCTGACTAACCAAACCAACACTATTCTAATGGAGAACTGTTGCTGCTGTTTAAAGAGTGCAACAGTAGTTTTGGTAACATTTTGACAAGCTTTTATACATATTAGAAATATGCATGTGCCTTTTTAGAGGACAGAAAACCATCATTGTTCTTTGCACACATGCCACGTATTGCAGTCTTGTGACTGTCAGCTGTCCTTTGTATTGCTCCAAAGAACTGGTCATAAGGGCTTTTTTTTTTTTTTTTTTCCTCTAATCTTACTGGCTTTGCAAATCCCCAGGCATGATTTTGGGATCTTTTGTAGGATTGTGGGGTTTTGTATACTTTGTGACATTGGCTTCATGCACTGCTTTTATTCAGGGCCTCGCCAAATATGCACAGCAGGTAGATTTGTACTGTAGTCTGGCAGCTTAAGTCACTTATACTCCAGTGAAAAGCATATCAAAGCATTTATGGAAAATACTTGATAGTCTCTCTTTATTTTTTTTGTTTTCTATTATACTTAATAGATGGTATTTGTGCCACATTACTTTTTTTTCCTGCCTTAAATAGATTTGATTTGACACTATGATCCCCAACAATCCTTAATGACAATCATTAGCTAAAGAAATGACCAGCTCAAAATATGTTTAGTTTTTGGCCTGTATGACTCAGATTTATATGACATAGCATTTATCTCATTACATTTAAGAGACATAATACTGTATTTAATTGTGTAACATATGCAACTATTAACTAAATGATCCCTCTCCGAACAGATCACTAAAAGGGTGTGGTCAGGGTTTTTCAGAGGCCTGTCTGACTGATTATAAACCAGAAAGCAACTTCTTGCTGTCCAACACTGCTTCTTGTTTTTGTGTTTTCTTAAACAGACAGCTGCTCTTTAACATTTCTATGCAATGTTAGTTCAAGTTAATAAACGAACCAAGACACTTACAAAATCAGATTCAAAACACAGATGCGGTCTAAGTGACAAAACCCTTTTTGAAAGGTCTTTGTGAAATCCTGAAACCTCGCTGTTAAAGTCTTGACAGAGACCTCATGAATCACTTGAAGGATTTTACAGAAAGGGATTTCTTGTTGTGAGCCTTTAATGCCAAAGTTGTAATTTGCTTGAAGAGGGATTTGTGTTATTTCATAATGATGATACATAGTGATACTGTAACATTACAGAAAAGCCATGCATTCTTTTCTAAAATAATGAGTAAAATTCTTTTTTTCCACTGACTCACTGTTGTAGTTATTTCCTTCATATAATACATTGCCAAAATCACTGATGAAAAGTGCAGCCAATTTTATTTACATTATATACACGTCATGTTCCCATGGTTACATTCAAAAATATATGGCCATATATAAAAAAGCTGAAGCTCTACTCAAAGCTATAGCATTTAAAGCACAATGTACATTCCTTTTGGTACACAGGGTTTCTATTAGCTAGTTAACAGAACACTTCATTTGATCCAAATTCAACACAAAACAAACACATTATAGAATTTCTAAAATTATTAATAGGTAACACAAGATTTTGGTTGACAAAATACAATTTAGAGAGCTAATGACACACTTAAAGGTCGGCCTATAGCTTTTTTTCCAGACTGTTTTAAAGCATTTTGAAGCAAACTGACCAATAGTTTCCATAGTTGTACTGTAAATGCAGTTTTGGCTAAATGATTCACATGTATTAAACATAAAAAACAAACATTGGAGCAGCAGTATCTAGTCTTAGAGTGTCCCTGTTGAGCTGAATAAACATTTGAAGACACTGTCATATGGTTTGATAAAAACTGACACTTTGGCAGCAGGTATCAGGATGTTTATATGACCAGGATTTAAAGGGGAAGTGCCCTGATTTTACACATCAAAATCTAGGAGAGTATTACTGCACAAGTTATATATCCAATCCAAATGTTGTGGCTACAGAGGGAGCTGCATGAGGTCTAATAAAAAATGCCTCAAGTGATGTCACTTGAGTCAGGGTCAGTTGCGGCTGAAGACTACAACTCTGAACATCAATAAAATCTGCAGGTGTGGAGTTAGAAAGAAAAGAGCTCATCGGACCTCTGCGGACCGCTCCTCATCTCTGCTTGAGGCCAGTGGCTCGAGGCTACATTAGCCGCTACTAACACAACACACCAAAATCTCCGACCTAACTGTCGGCGGTTGAGTTGTATTGTGGGTAATGTAGCTGCCAAATTTAGAAAATGAAGAAGAATGCATGGAATTAAAAAGACAGTCTCTGGTTCTGCTGCATTGCTTTTGATATTATAATATTCATATGAATGTTTTCATTAGTGTATAATCACCTGAAAACAAGAGTTAAGGTTAGGGGTTATTGTTGTGTTTTCGTTACCTTAGAATGAACCGTTTTACCTACAGGGAAAGTGGGTCTTCTTCTATGGAGTCCATGTTGAACTGCCATGTTTCTACAGTAGCCCAGAATGGACAAACCAAACACTGACTCAACCCTGGAAGGCTGGGCTATATTCAAATGGTTGATTGCAATCTGCAACTTCATCTCAACATACCACTAGGTCCTACACACTGGTCCTTGAACTGTCCTACATGAGTCCGACAATGTTACAGGAGTGCAATGATAAATTGATGGAGTACTATTTTACCTAAGAAAATTTTTTTTTTTGTTTTTCACTCTTTAAATACCATGCAAAGACAAAATGTGCTGTAGGACACTGCATTGACATTCATAATGCTGCTTTGATTTGGCTTGTAATTTCCTGCTCAATGATGGTTTGTTTTTCTCGACATAAACAGTGTTTGTGCTAACACTGAGCTTTTGGTATCAATTAGTGAGCAAATTTGTATGTACGTTCTACCACACAAGCCCCTTAACAATATGATCATCTTAAAATAGGGCTGTGCACATTACTGTAAAGCTAACAATACATTTATTTCTATATTTACAAAGTTTTAATCTGACAGCAGCAATAAGTGAGCCACAGTTGTTTAACCACGCAGAGGATACGTACATCATTGTGTATCTAAATGCCACATTTGGAAGAGACAGTGATATGAATTATATTTAAATTGCTGTTCATCTTGGCCTTCAGGTGGTAAAAAAAAAAAAAAAAACCTTTGTACTTTGGTTCCTGAAAGTAATAAAGAGACTCCAACACTGGCGGGATTATTTCCACATTATTTAGTCCCATGGCCTTTGTCTCATTCCTTTTTTGAGGTTGACAAGGTTTTTCAATGAGCAAACCAAAAAGTAGTCCAGCTGCGATGAGTTCATCCAAAGCTGCCTGTGGATTTTAAAAATGTAATATAAAAGTAAAACAAAAACAATGTCAACAAAACTAAAGTCATTTTTGATGATGAAGACAGAAGAAAATTTGGGCCTTTTAAACACGCACAACAGCTGATGCAAGCAAAATGTGTGGAAAACTTCAATTACAGCAAGTTTAGATGAGTTCAAACACATAAACGTTCCCAAGTTGCTGCTTTTAACCGTGAAGTCTTTTGGTGTATTTTTCCCATGGGAGGTGAATGCAGCTGAAGCCCCGATGGCGTCGCCACAGTCCAGCCTCCCTCACCACAGCCTGCTGGCTCCCCAGTCTGGATGACAAGTCTGTCACGGTGAAGCAAGTAACACTTTAGTCCACAAAGGGGCAGTGTTGAGTTGAAAGGGGGGCATCCACAGTAAACAAGGGTTCCTGGGTGGGACAGACGCCTCACCGCTGCTCTGTGGGTGGTCTGCAGCTCTGATTGTCAGAGAAGAGCTTAAAGTTAGCTCCTTCTTTGCTGAAATCATCCCCACCAGAGTGAGGAGGAGGGAAACTTGCTCTGCTGCTGTGACTGTCACTGAGGTGTTCTCCTGGGGGAGGGTGGTCGGCGGACCGGCGGCAGGTCGTAGTGTCCTGGGATGTGGCTGTTCACGGGGAGGTCATAGTGGCTCTGGGGGTCCTCGTGTGGAGCGTGACCGAGGGAACTCTGACGCTCTGGGGGGGCGGGGGGGTAAACAACACACTGAGTTAACAGACACTAAGAATGAAAGCTCTTTTTATACTAAAAATAAATAAATTCTACTATATTTAAAAAATGTCATGCCCTGATCATCTTTTGGATGCTTTGGTTTTAGTTTGGGCAAAATGTTAATTTTTCCTGTCTGAAATGATGTTTCCACAACTGGTTTATAGTTGATTATTTTCCTTCCTGGCACTGTGAATGGGTTACACCTGTGTGGTGTTCGGTATTGGTATTGAGACTTCTGTGCACTGCTTGATTTGATGTTGCACGATGGCACAGAGCTCTTGCTGAAAACTCTTCTTGAATCCGATCTTGACTCACACTTGACTGGAGATTTACTGTTTGGGTCAGTCGTGAATAAAGCTCTCAAACAAAAGCTTTAGTGTATAAGTGTCAAAAATAAATGGATACAGAGAATGTTCTAACCTTTGGTCTGTATTTTAAAGCAAATATCATCTCGCACAAACCAGATATATAAAAATAAAGTATGAATCGTCTGCTTAACACACAAATTATACGAAACACTGATAAAATATCAGTCTTTTCATCCATCCATACATCAGCTTTATATACCTGCAAGAGAGAGATGGGACATGAGGTCTTTTCAAATACTGTATCCCCTCCTATTTAGCATTTATAAGCAGTATATAAACATCTTATTAATGATTTATAAAACATTTTAATGTCATAGTAAGCAGATTTAAGTGTGTACTAATGGGGGTGCCCCAAAAAATATTTAATTGTTAGTGTTAACAACTACAACTCCTGGAAGCTGGTGTATAAACAGATAATGAATATAATATATAAATATAGTTTTGTAATAATATAAAATATGAATACATATAATTATTGACAAATACTGCACATTAAAAAACACTTAAAATATACATATATGTGCTTACAAATACATTATAATGTGATTAATGTATTATAAACCATAGTTAAATCAGGTTATACTTTATGTGTCTTGAATATGTATTCATCTGAATGTAATGTTTTGTGGTTTTTCTCTGCCAAGTCTTAAAATATAAAATATATAAAAAGGACCCCGGTTCACTGAACACATTATGAGCCCATGAACCATGATTTTAACTTCAAACAGGCAAGGAGGCCATTTTAAGTATCAATAAGTTATTTATACTCCAACTTTGTACACTTTATTAATACCCTTTTATAAATCATTAACCACAGTCTTCTGCTCCCAATAGTGCAAGTGTAAATAATAATAAATTGTTGATGAGGGGGAGTGCTATTTTCAGTCACTTTTCCTCACCCAAGTCGTTTGAGATAACCAGGATTCAAATTAGTAATATTCTCCTTCACTCCATGAATAAAGACTGACATCAAGCCATATTTCCATTAGTCTAAGGTTTTGATTATCTTATCTCGTCTCTGTGCTAAAATAACTTCAACCCTTTTGTAGCACGCTGAGTGTGAGCTGCCTACAATAACACTAGTTTCCCATCATCATGTATTAGTCTGACTTCATGTTGATGTGTTACTGGTGTCTACATTGTAATAAAATGCAACTAATAACAGCCACCCTTTCTTCTGCTCCTCCTCTTCCCTCCAGTGTCTTTTCTTCACTTCCATGTAAACAGTTGTTCATTCATCAGGCTCCGTCTTGAGAAAGCCCATCCTTCCCATCTGTCGGAGCACAAATCCTGTTCTAACGTTTGATCTAATGACTGATCGGGACTCTAAAAGAAACTTAATGAGTGTTTCATTTTGATGTCAACATTCTTTTAAGCCTCAGCTTTCTCAGATTGGATGACAAATGTGTCGTCTGATTTTGATTAAAGGTGGAAGGATGATGCATTTTTGCAAGTTTCTGATGTTCTTAAGAATTACACTAATTGACCTGACAGGCTTTAGAGCTGAAACAATCAGTGTATTAATTGATTAGTTCATAGACAGATGTTCAGCAACTATTTTGATTATCAACTAATTGTTAAAGAGTGAGAGAGTAAGTCTCTACAATTCAGAAACTCTTGATTTTGATGAAATTCAACAATACAAGTTATTACTGAGGGCATATTTACTTATGTGCATGAATATACTTCTTTATTGAGGTGAACAATAAATGTACCTTCCTACATGCGATTGGCTCACAGAATATGCAATGTGACTCTGACCCTCCTGATTTTGTTCTTGTAATATTGCTCATGTATCAGTAGATTTACAAGTCACACTGGTGACACAGATGTCTGGTATGCTGCATCCTACGTCCCCATATTATAATAACCTTTCTGGTTATGAAAAAATAAAACTGAAACTGTTGGAGGATGCTCACCTCTACGTAAGGTAGCCGTGTTAAACGGTGGCGGGCTGATCTCAGTGTACGCACGGTCTCTGGGCACGGCAGACTTCATCTCCATGTAGCTGCTCTCTGGCGGGCAGAAGGGCAGGCCGGGCAGGTCTTTGATGGTAGCATAAGGATTCTCACTGTTCAGAGAGCTGCTGCTCACTGCCACTGTGTCCTTCAGCTCTGTCACCACACAGGAAGCAACGAGACAGACGTTAAAACACATGTTAAAAGTACATGTGAAGAGTTAGAACGCAGCACGACAGCAGCATCAATGGTTGAAGTGTAACTCTAGGTCAGGTTTTAACTTTAAAGCATTCTTTTAATGCTTTTTATGAGTTATTATCTCCCAGGATTTTATGTGTTGAGATGATTTAAAGAAAACCTAATGGAGGGTTAAATACCACGACCTGTGACTAATCTTAATTGAAATCCAAATGTTTGTAACATTCTTCTATAGACTATTATTTTGGTTTTAAAGGTCATGTTTTTAACTAAAGTGATACTTCATCAGCTGTCAATTATGGTGAAACACAAGATTAAGTCTACAGACATGCTAGACATCCTTTGTACTTTTTATTTAACACATTCATTATCTTAGTTTAGCATGTTATCATGCTACCATTTGTTAATTAGCACTAAACACAAAGCACAGCTCAGACTGATGGTAAGGTCATTAAATTTGCAAGCATTTAGTCATAAACCAAAGTATTGGAGAAATTAAAAGTCTGACCTGATGATGGCGCTAGATGAAATTACTTTACAATTCAAAGTGTGGGCCCAATTTAATGGAAATCCATCGACTACTTGTTGAAATATTTCAGTCTGGATCAACGTGGTGGACTGACTGACTTACTGACATCCATTGCAATCCATATAGCCAATAGGATGGCTGAATTTATTATTGGTTATAGTTTCTTTTATGGGTGTATGGCAAAAGAAATATGTTAAAAAGCTCAAAATCCTATTCTTTCAACATTTATGCATGTTCATGTAATCATATAGCTTTATGTAGCAACCCGTTGCTGGTGTAGTTTTGGTATCCCTACTTCTATAGAGCAGGTCAAAGGAGAGGAAAAGAAGAAAATAGGTTAATAAACTACCTTTGTTATAATATTTTCCAAGGCTGGCACTGTAGCTGTAGCTCCGGTCGATTCCAAAAGCTCCTGTAAACAATAAAAGACAAATCTGGCATCTTCATTTTCATTTATGGCAAACTAATCAAAAGCAGATAAGCCGCTTTGGAAACCTGCAAAATCAATACCAGGTGAGTAAAAGCTGGCAATCAACTATCTCTTTTTATGAAGTCTTTACTGTTTTTTATGGTCTCAAATGTGCATTGTTGACTAAAATGATTTTCTGTCCAAAGGAAATGTGATGGTCGATAAACGCTTGTGTAGACTGTAAAAAAAGAGAACTTTCTACGTTTTCTCCTCAGCTGTTAAAGCAACCGTCTCTGCCCACAATTTCTCAACATTTACACTTTCTGTGGTTTTGTTAAATCAGGGATTCTGAAGGCCTTTATCAATACAGGTATCTTTACACTGAAGCCGCTGTCAGCTGATATTTTCTGCTGGTATAAAATGTCTTAAACAATGACTATATTATTGTTAAACACAAATTCAGCGTGTTCCCCTGAAAGATTGTTCTGTCTGGGTGATAAAATTAGACTACTACCTTCCACCGACACTCGGAATAAGGAAGTACTTTTAGGTGTGTTAGCAGAAGGTTATATTAGCATTAAGTTGCAGGTTTAACTGATTATTTTTATGTAGCTGTGGTCCAGAGGTCAGGAAACCAACTGCTTACTTTTATTAGCTTGTAAATGTTAATCCACTCATTTCATTTTACTCTGCAGCAGCAAGTCTCTCTGCATAAGTGTCTCCTCTAAACGAATAAAACGTAAAGTCACTGATCCTAAATGTGAATCACACTGTGGTGAGCCACCCGGACGGACCTGAGTCTTTGCGGGGCTCGTGGTGTTTCCAGTCTGCAGGTAGAGTGGCATTGCTCTCGACCCCAAACAGGCCCCGTCTCTCCCTCTCCATGTTTTTCACACTGCAGAACAGCTGGTTATTGGTGTTCTGTATGACAAACAGAATAATATTCAGAAATCCTCAATGAAAAGAAAAGTTCAAGTATGCTAAAGTGACAATTCAATTTAGCACCACAGAGCTGCGACTTACAGGGTCAACATTTTATGGTTTACGATTTCACGGCCCTGAAAACACGGCCAGTTGTTGTTGACTGGATAAATTACATATTTGTCACAGTACTGCAGTACAGTTGCTATGAGGCCTGAAAACTGCCTGAAGTATCAGATCACTGAGTTGTAACAGAGTTAACATTCACCTTGATGGTGCGGTCATGGTTGTTGGGGAGGTGTGGCAGTGGAGGCCTGTTCTGGCTCAGTGTGTGGTAGCTGGGGTTGGAGTAGTAGTGGTGGTAACTGTGAGGAACATCTGTATGCCAAAACAAACACATGGAATCACGTCTGCTGCAGTAAAAACTACCTCAAGGTCAATAAAATGCATCTCTGTGGAACACTAATTACAAAAACACAACAGTGAGATACAACCAAAACCACACTACGACCAAGAACAACTATTAAAACGTCAAAATAAACTGCTTATATCTTTTGAAAATGTTAAACATCCCCTAAAGAAAACTAACGGCCGGCTAATATTCACTGCTTGGCATTGAATTTGATTTCACTCTATCATATAAAAATCATTACAAATACATACCATGCAGACAAGAAAGTCCAAATCCAAACAATTTTTTCTCTCTCTCTTAAGTCTAGTTTACCAAATTTGTCAGGCTGAATTCAAGTGAAATGTGTATAAAGTGAATGTTTGTTTGGTTGCTCTACTCAAGACGCTTAGGTGCAGGACAAGGTGGGTGTTCATATTTGTAAGTTAGATAAGAAGGTGACTTTAGCAGGAAAGCTAACGTGGGCTGTTGTTCAAAGTTTGTGGCTCTTGTCAGTCTAGTGTTGTATGGCAAGCTGCTGTTAGTCGGTGTAAACGTCACATCTGTTCCAGCTGCCTAGCTGAAAACGAAAGGGGACAGAGCATTTGTAGTCAGGGCCCCAAGGCTATGGAACAATCTGCCTGTGGAAATCAGGTCGGCTGAATAACTGATCTCCTTTAAGTCTCTTCTTAAACAGACAGTTCTGTTGGAGAGCCTTCACGGATTTTACTTGAACTGCCTTTTATTGACATTGTTTTTATCAGTTTTCTTGTTTTATCTGGTTGAAATTTTCTTTTAAAACCTGATGATTTTATGATTTGTGTTTTATTTTTTGTGAAACACTTTGTAACATAGATTTGCTCTTATTATTATTACTATTACTGCTTTATGCTAATATTTGACTGGCTGTATGGAAACAAGTTATCAAACTAAGTGGGCAGAGAACTAAAAGTGTAACAGACAAAAAAAAGCAATTTACTTCAGACTTAAATGAAGTATTAGAACAGGTACAGAATATACAGTACTACGTATTGTACATACATTGTACTACGTACTACATTGTATGACCTGATAAAAATATCCTCTGTACTGTACCTGGAACGGCGTACTCAGAGTTGACTGTGCGGCTGGTGGAGAAGGAGACAGTCGGCGTGTTGTTCTGCTTGTCCTTCTGCCTGCGGCGGTAGAGCAGCAGCAGAGCCAGCAGCAAGACCACCAGGATGACGAGCACGACGATGCCACCAATGGCGCCCCACGACTCCCTCTCACCTGGAGGAAGAGGAACCATAACGCTCCCTGACTGCTCGGACGAGTCTGTCAAACAGGAAGGGAGAGAGAAATCAAGTAGTGCTGGGCGGTATGACCAAATACTTGTATCATGGTTATTTCTTTTTATATTCTGGCAGTTTCACAGTATATCACAGTATTTGTTTTGCCTGACAGGGACTTTATTAAGCTAAAATATGAAAACATTTTAATGTCATGTATGTACTGAAGGCTTTGATTACTTGGCCCCAAAAATGATCAAAAATGATAAAATATATGAAGGAGTCAGAATGCATAAAACAATTGCATAATGTACAAACTGCGTGAAAAATTCATTTTGTACAGGAAATTAAAAGTGATATACTCCATCCAGGATACAGCCCAGCTCTAAAATCAAGTACAGCAATTAAAGCAGCTTTCATTAACTTTCCACCTCTGAGATGGAACAAGGACAACCATAGAAACCACACAATTTACAAATGGAATATCAAGGCAGTGAAGTTTTTATGCACTACTTTTTAAGAAAAAGACTAAATAAATCAACACAGGCAAAAGAGGAGAGGCAGTCGGTGAAAGTCGATGTATAAGATCCTAAAATGTATGCATGTATACCTTGTTTGCAGTCATCTCCTCCACCTTCACACACACAGTCTCCAGTAAATCGGTCACAGATGAGGTTGGTCGGACAAGAACAGGTCTGAGTACAGAATGGACCAAAGCGTCCTGGACTACAGGCTGGAAAACACAAAGCACACATCACATCCACCTATTAGACTCATGTAATAAGTATTTAACTATAGTTCAAACTAGATTATAATGATCCACTTGTGTGGTCATATTATAGCAGGTTTGGGATGAATAGTAGTGGACACAATGCTGAATACAATTATAATTAATCTTAATATTTTATTTTATTTTATCTATTTAAATGAAATTAGTTTCAACATTATACTGTAGAGATGCCACAATTAGTTGATTAATGATATAGTTGATCTGATCAACAGAACACTACTCCAATAAATACATTAGTCCAAACACAACAATTCTTATTGTTTACTCACAAATAAAAACATACCTTATGAATATTATATTCTTTTTCTGCCATTAGATAAATATTTACACACTTGGGCTGTGGGTGATTCTTCACTATTTTCTGACATTTAACATATGAAATGATTGAGATATAAGTATATAAAAAATAATCAGCAGATTGACAGATGATTAAAATGTTTGTTAGTTGCAACCCTGATAGACAATATATATTTTAAGCAAAACAAAAACCCTTAAGAGGGCATGTAAGACAGCTGTGAATATCTTGGCGGTAATAGGCTAGTGGCTTTTGCACCAATAATACCAGTTTATAACACTAAAGGACCCTCTTGTGATGTTGTGATTGCTGCATCAGTCAGCTGTATTCCTCTGTTAGCAGTCATATTTCAGAAAAAGCACTTTTCTAGTTGTTATATGGCGTTGCACTCACGTATGGAGCAGTCCGTAGCAGTCCAGCCAGGCAAACATTCACAGTGACCGTCCCTGTGGTCGCATGTTGAGTTGTTGGCACAGTTAACACACACTTCAGAGCACAGTTTGCCATAGTAGCCAGCTGGACAAACTGTGAAACACACAATGTCATATATAAAATTACTTGCACTAGGTTATGTTGAGATTTAATGTAGAAGATGTCTGTAACATCTATACCATGTGTTTAATGTATAAAATTAGTTTGGATGATTTGCACATGGGTGTGTAATTATTGATTTAAATGCAAACCTTGATCACAGTTGGCTCCAGTATGTCCAGGTAGGCAATCACACTCTCCTGTCACATGGTGGCAGCGGTACGACTGGCCACAGGATGGGCATGACATACTGCACTGGTCACCGTACATACCAGCTCTGCATTCTGGGGGACAGGAGATAAAGGGTGAGCCAAGGCAGATGTTACGCAGTAAATCCAGTACACTTCTGGTTTTGATATGATGTGATTTTTGTTGTATTTCAGCTGGCTGACAACAACACTCACTGTTCTGACAGGTGACTCCCCAGTAGCCTGGGCGACACACACATGCTCCAGTTTCCCTCACACATGTGTCACTGTTGGGGCAATGCTTGAAACAGGTCTGGTTACAGTGGCGCCCCCACAGGCCCTCTGAACATGGCTCGCTACAACGAGGACCTTGAGGGGAAACATTTGCAGATGAATAAGTATTGCAGACCCACGCTGAGTGTGTTTATCCTTTACTTAAACTACAACTTAACTGGTGAAACAGTCTCAATTTAATACTGATGCCTCTATATGACCTACATTGACAAACAAGACCATCAGCGAGAATATAAGTTCTTCTTAATGCCTGCCACTGGGTAGGAGTAGGTCGGATTGCCCTTAAATTTAATGAAACGAGACAGTAGAAACACTACCGCTTTTGTCCACAGGGGCCGCCAGAATCAACACAATATGGAAGTTCCTTGTAGGGCATTACCTCAATGGATAATCCATTTCCCCATACTGAAAAGTCCTGCATTCATAAATTGAATTCAGTAAAAGTAAGCAAATATAACCAGTAAAATTTATTCAGCTATCAAATGTAAAAGTAGTTCATGTGAACAATGTTTTTTTAAGTTTAGTATAAGTAATATTGATGCGATAATCTGTAACTAGTGGGTTTGCATTTTTTAGTCCATTATCTACATATTGTGTACACTTTATACTGCCTTATTTGTTATGCCAACCATTTTTCAAAGGATAGCGTAGTTTGATTTACTTCAATCCACAAATTAAATGGTTAACTTTTAATTACAGACAGTTTTAAAGACTTTACTGGTTGCTATCAGAAATGTTAATAAACCTTAATACTTTAAGTACTTCTAGCTGATAGTACTTCGGTACTTTTACTAAAGTAAGATTTTGGATGCAGGAGTTTTATTTGTAATGGAGTATCATTTCTACTTTTACTAGTAATGTAAGGTGTAAGGGATTTAAAATGAATGGGCAAAAATACACAATGTCACTGGTGGTTCTTTAAGTTAGAGAGCAGTATAATCATAATCAAAGAGAGTGTTTTAAAACCTGTGAATCACTTAGTTCTGTTGGACCAGATTTATCTGTTGTACGAAAGCCAAGTTGGCAGCGACACCAGGAGGACGTCATCACTTACCCCACCAACCTGGCAGACAGTGGCACTCCCCGGTGGTAGCTTGGCAGCCATCGGCCTGAACACAATCACACCTCTTCAGACAGCCTGGCCCAAACGTGCCCATCTGCACATGTGAACAAATGCCAACGGGCAAAGAATTGTCAGGGGAATCTCTTCAACACTCGGCCAGCTCAGTCAGAGTCAGACAAAATACTACACTGGCAGTGTGTTGTTGTATAGACAGCCTGGTAGGTTGGCATTGCAAAGACAAGAAAGGCACATGTCCAAAACACAGATTAAAGCATATACAGAAGATGAGGTAAGGGATGAAAAGCTGGACAACATTTCTACACTGTCCAATCACAACTGACATATTCTGTATAATTATCACCTTATGATTTGTGTATTAGTCTTATCAAAGATAGCAGTTCATTCATCTACTCAGCTTGAGAGTAGTAGAATAAAGAATAAATATATAGTGCATTTGTCTTATCTTGTGTAGTTAGGATTATTTTACAAAGTGACATGTGTTTTCATGCAGTGCTGTGGCTTGAGTCCAGGACATTTTATGCTGCTTTGGGAGACAGAGAAGAAGTGGGAGGATAAACTGCTGCACTTGTACTTGGCACCTCCCTTTATTTAATATTTTTCTACTTTTATTTTATTTTACTATGTGTGTATATTTTATTTTCCTAAGTTTCATGAAATAAAACAGATTATTGTCTGTATTGGTGATATTTTGCATTTTTAAAAGATCATACAGGTCAGAGTTTACCCACCTTTAGGTAGAAGGTTTCTAGAAATATGTTTTTTTTCTATTTGTATTCATGGTATTATTATTATTATTATTATTATTATTATTATTATTATTATTATTATCATCATCATCAATATTATTATATTGTATCCTACTGTAAAAGAGAAAGCGGTGTTTCAGTAAATGGTTGAGGCATAAAAAACAGATATGTGACAAAAACACACATTTTTGTCTGGTTTAAGATTATCTGAAGGATCAGTTTTTCCACCTCTTTATCACTTTATAAGCAAATAAATCAAGCTATAAAGCCTCATATCCAGGCATTTACCGGGCAGGGTTGGTCACACCGCGCCCCCTGCCAGCCGGCTGTGCAGGTGCAGGATCCATCTGCAGGATTACATTTTGCTCCATTGGCGCAGTGGCAGGTGGCATTGCATCCTGGGCCCCAGGTTCCCTCAGAGCAGGGGATGGAACAGTCAGGCCCTCGCCAACCTGCAGACACACGAAGGACCGTCAGCCATGTTCAATTGGTTACATCGTTGATATAAAGTTGTTCAATCAATTTTGCTGCAGTCATGCGATCACCAGTCTGTCAACAGGTCAAGCATTGACCGTTATTGTGAATTATTACCCTCTTTGCAGAAGCAAGTCCCGTCAATGGGCGAGCAGTCAACAAAGTTTTCACAGGAGCACTCCAGGGAGCAGTTCTTGCCATAGGTGCCACTTTTACATGGTTTCTCACAGTGAACTCCCTGCAATAATAAATAACAGTATTAACTTTGATAATATTTCTAGAAGGCAGATAATAATTATAGGTGAGATAAACATTTGGTAAAAATAGGTTATTAAATCTAAGAGCTACTGAGTACCATCACAGGAAGTGAACGGAAAATCTAATCTAATGAACTTATTAATTAATCCACTGATTCCTAGATGGTACATACTAAACTCTACCACTCACCGTGAACCCAGGGGCACACTGGCATTGGCCGGTGGCACTATCACACACCCCTCCATTCACACAAAGACACGGCTCCAGGCAACCATGACCGTAGAAACCGTGAGCACAGGTCTCATTACAGAACAGTCCTGCCCACCCAGGCTGGCATGTGCATTCTCCTTTCATTGGATGGCAGCTGGATAGTGAAAATACAGATAAATATGATGAAATCGTCACAAGAATACAAAGAAATAAACCGTTTTCAGTTTGAAAATGTGTTGATAGAGAGATTTTTGCACATATGTTAAACACTCCTAGTACACTGGATGTTCCCAAAGGATTGTTATTAGAATATGTGTGTTTACTTCTACCTCATATTTTTGTTATTGGTACAGTCATTCTTTACAGGCACAGCTGTTCTAAAATCAGAAATAATCATAATTGGTTGAAAAGAACATCTCAGCTGGTGGAGCTAATGAATCTGAGGACAATGTAGCTGAGCTAATTAGCAAACACAGGTGTTTTCAATTGTTCTGGTTGATTAGACTTCCCAGGTTAAAATAAAACAAGAGTAGTGTGTGGGAGACGTCAATCAAGCACAGTCTGCACACGCCCACACAGTCCTGAGAGGAGGTCTAATCAGGTGAAATAAAAACACCTGTAGGACCTTTAAAGTAAAGCAAAGCCTAGTCAAAACAGGTGGGAGCTGGGAGCAGATCTAGCTACAAAGTTATGAAGCCTAACTGACTTCAGTCTACAGCTAACAATTAGACAGCTAAATGTGCTTGGTTCAAACTAGCAGTTAGCCAATTTAGTCAGTATCATAGTTTGGACCACAGTCCAGAACTTTGAAAACCATGCAAAACTTGCGGTCTTCAGCAGTTAATGGAGCCAATTTAATTAGCAGGTAGCGGATGACCTAAGGTCTAAATGGGGCCACCAGAAGCCAGCTGACTTTCCCAAAATTGTGTCTCTTTGGCTCCACTCACTGAGGTTTAGCTCGACCAAAATTGGATTATCTCTGCCTCCAGACTAGCACTGCCTCAGAAAAATGTATAGTTCAAACCCCTTCATCTTATTCTTTTCCCGACACTCACCCGAGTGTGTGCTTATCCTGGCAGAGACAGGTGCGTTCACAATGCATGCCGTATTTGCCGGGTGCACACATCCTGTCCCTGCAGTGTGGCCCACTGAAGCCCGGCTCACATAGACAACCTCCATCAATGTTGTAGCAGCGTGCACCGTTAGCACAGTCACACACACCTTTGCAGTCCTGACCATAAGTGCCTGCAGCACACTCCTCATTACACCTGATGGCCAGAACACAAAATAGTTATATACATACACAGAAGAGCTGGACCAATGGAAAGTAAAACACAAGTCTGTTGTTAATTTGCACATGAACCACAAACCGAAAAAACTTCTGTATTGTGGGTAGCCAGTCATGATGTCAAGGCTGTTTTTATCTGTTTCTGGTGTCTATTACACAGTTAGAATAAATTATGTTTGACAGAAGGAAGGAAGGATAGGAAAGCTGCATTGGTTGGCTGTTCAGTGCCTAGAAATAAGGCAATATGACATGTTAATCAGCCCAGCTGCTCTATAATGCCTCAGTACCAAAGAACATCAAGTATATGAGGATGACAAAATACCTAACCAAGGTTTCTCCAGACTCAACATTCACTTCACAACAGTTTTCTATTTTGGTGAATGAGCGGGCATATAGGACGGCCATATAAATATAACACTTGCACAAACACACCTGTTACCAGTGAAACCTTTAGCACACTGGCACTGTCCCGTTTCAGGGTCACATTTGCCCCTGTTGTGACAGACACACTCCTCAGCACAGTTCGGTCCAAACCTTCCCTCTGGACATCGCTCTGTGCAAACTGCACCCTGCAGAGTAACAAGGAAAAAAACATTGATGAGACAGAAAAACGTGCCAAGCAAACGCAGATGCATCTTTGCAAAAACAGGAATAAGATGCCAGCGTAGCAACTTTACAGACTGATGCAGTTACTCAGAAAATAATCGGTTAGTTTAGTCTCTGATGGGATCACAATCATGCCTCCCCTCATGCGAATCTTCCAAATGATACATTTCTTCACATTCGCAGAAAACCATCTGCATGTCTCCAGAGAAGACAGGTTGCATTCAAAAATGTCTTTAGAAATAAGTCAGTGTTATGAAAAAGGACTGCTTTGTCCAGTATTTGGAGCCAGCTGGAATATAACACATGAGATAAGTCAATGTCTGGCAACTTTCACAGATAACATTAAGGTTAGTGTCAGTGCATGAAAATTTACCATCCATCCAGGGGGGCAAGCGCAGATTCCTTTGCCCCTACAGATACCACCATTCTGGCAGGGGCATCGTGCCTGGCATTTACTGGGACATGCCTTCTCACAGCTGGGGAGAAAGGATGGGGTCGTTGCTTAATAACAGTTTAATGGACCACTTTAGTCCAAAACACTCCTGTCCTGGGACATTCCTGAGGACTTAAGTAAATGTTTTGTTCTACAGTAAAAGTGCACAAACAAAGTGTTTCTATAAAATTTATAATTCAAGCATCAGCACAAACAGTGGTGTAGTAGTTAACTACATTTACTATACATAATATACATAATACTTAAGTATAAAAATACTCTTTTTTTTTATTTTTATACTTCTACTCCACTACAATTCACAGGCTAATATTGTGTATTTTACTCCACTATATTTTAATTAATTACTGTAGTTACTTCACAGATTCAGACAAAATATAATCAATCAATAAATGATGGTGTATTATTAAAGACTGAGGTAAGACTTTATTGATCCCTTGGTTAAATTTGCAAGCTAGTAAGTAAAATGTGTTCCACCCTTACCAGCTGCAACATTAAGTGATGTACATTAATGCAACAATAATTATAATACAGTCATGTACATTATTCTCAAACAGGCCATTCTGCATAATGAGTACTTTTACTTTCTGTACTTTAAGTATATTTTGAAGCTGTTACTTAAGCAACATTTTTTAATGCATGACTTGCAGTATTTCTACGCTGTGGTATTGCTACTTATACTTAAGTTAAATGTCTGAGTAGATATTGATGTCACCACTTACATAGATTACCATTTGGAAATCCTGCAACTCTAGAGCAGCTGTATACAGTTAACGACCACATGGACAATGTTTTTAACAGTTCGTACAGCCCTATAATATTCTCCTTACTACTCGGAGGAAAAGTAGTATAAAAAACGAGAGATCCAGAAGAAAACCAACAGTAGCTTCCTGATTACTTTAAGACTTGGCATTACAACAGCTTTGTGGGAATCATCAGCACAGTTGGAACGTGTCTTCAACCAATCAGATTACTTGGCTGAAACTACCTATTGTACAATTCTTTGTAGGGATATTACATTTTGTAATGCGCCCTTGAGGTATATTAACATGGACAAACTTCAAATATACACAATTCATCAAGGAGCTCCATCCCATAATCAGTGTTGCCAAGCCCCCTTTTTTATTTAGCTCAAAGTGGTGTGTTGTGCTTTCACATTGGCACGTGTTTCCACTAATATCTAGCGGGGAAGAATTTTCATTGCTTACTCATCCTCAGGGGCATCTAAAAACAGGGTGTAACAGATGACTCATGGATTATTCTATACAGCAGGGTCTTTTTTTCCTTCTTAAAATTAAGTTGTGGAAACAAATAACTTGGTAAGAACTGACAGATCTGTTTGTGACAGACCTCCTGAGAAAAATAAAGATAATGAAGTCTAATGAAGTGATGTGTAATGAAGTATCTGAGGTATCCAGTGTCTCCTAAATGACATAATGAACTGTACATACAAATGGCTCATACCAAAAAAGACCAGTTTAGTTTAGACTTAAATATCTCAATTATTATTTGATGGTGTAAGATTAAATTTTGCACAGACCTTCGTGGTCTCTTGAGCCTGAATCCTACTGACTCCTTTGACTTTTCGTCTAACCCCACAATGACTTTTACATTGTTGGCTTTGGTTTATGATAATAATGGCCTTCCCATCAGCCTCAGCCTTACTTTGTGTTTAGTGCTAATTAGTAAACACGCTAAACTTTAGGTGAGCGTGATAAACATTATACTTCCTATACATCAGCATGTTACACTGTCATTGTGAGCATGTTAGCAGTCTTAGTCTTAGAGTCTTAGTCTTGTTATTTGTGTGTCTTGCTTCAAATTGCTACTCGAGGGAACAAATAAAGTATTTTAATTGAAAATTGAAAAATAATCTGTATGTAAAATTTAAAACTGTGAAAAGGGGAACCTGAAAAGGGGAACCTTCATTTGGAAATGAAGGAAAAAAAAGTTTTTAGGTCAATGTTTTTCTCTGTTTACAAAATCAACACAGCATTTATTAACAAATCTCCTAATATGGAAAGATCATTTTATACTGCACTTACAAAGTTCCAGTGAATCCCTGCCGACATAAGCACTCTCCTGTGGCTTTATCGCAGGATCCTCCAGTCCCACACTTGCACCTCTGCAGGCAGCCCTTCCCGAAGGAGCCTGCAGGACAGGAGTCCTCGCAGAGGCGTCCTATGAACCCCGGAGGACACTGACAAGCCCCCTTAACAGGGTCACAGAGAGCTCTGTTCTCACACTTGCACTGCTGACTGCAGGCTGCTCCCCAGTGTGTGTCGTCACAGGCTGAAAGGTAACAAGAAAAACTATTATGTATTTACTTATGAAGTTTATTGATCCAGACTAAGATATTGAAACACAACCTCTAATTCTTCTTGTTTATTTGTGCAAAAATAAAACTAGGCTTTTGGTTTATGTGGTTTGCTTTTGCATTTTTGTTTAATCTCAGTCTCCAAACTTGATAAAGTTCATTCTGTTTATTGGATTTAATCTCAATGAAAATACCTGTAAAAAAAACCATTGAAAACACCGAACTTCTCCTCACTTCTTAAAACTCAGGAAAACTTTTTTTTGTTTTTCAGACGGCCATTACTGCCTACACACTTTGACACCAGGGAGGTTCTCACTGTCATTGCCCACATTTTCCAACGATTCAAACCAGTCAGCTTCCAGTAATACCCCTGCCTCCCTAAACACTGAGTCAAACCTACTCTGCAATAAATGAAATAAAAACACTGAATCAAAATAAGATTACACATGATTACTGTAACTTGCATTATGGTGCCAGCATCATCATTTTGAGTCAGTTTTGTTGATTCAATTTTACTACCATACACAGTGGTATACGCTTACAGTAATATATGATGTCATGAAAACAAATGAACAGAAACAAATCTGATTAAATTCAGTGTGTTCAACAGCACAGAGATGAATAACAGAACAGAAACAAAAGAGTGCGTGTGGATGACCAAGTACTGACTCTGCCCCACATTTCTGTGGACCCTCTCCCATGCTTTCACATCCAAATCCTCCCCTTTAGCCCAGGAGTGTTATATTACCAACAAATAACTTCAAATTGGCAGGGAGATTTGCATGGAGCTCACAGGACGGGGGGGTTTTAAATGGTTAATTTTACAGAAGCCTGAGGATCGGCTCCAGGGGGTTTAATGTAGAGTGGAGATTCACACAAGGTTTGGATTTCAATTCATGATGAAGAGATCTCAGTCCGCTGGGTTGTGTTATGAGAACCCAGATTGGTCAAGGGTGCATTCTTTAAATTTCTCATCAATAACTTAGGCTGTCTTGGACTTTTGGACACCATCGAGAAAATGTGATATCCAATAGCGCTGACGTAACACATGGATGGGCTTCAGTTGTCTTCTCTCAAGCTAAAAGCAATTCCAACAATTTCATGCTGACCTTATGTAAGCAGCAGACATTTATGCACAGAATCAACTGTACACTAAGGCTGGAGCTACATGTCATAGTCCATGTTCCCAGTCGCCCCCACCCCCCCTACCTTAGTCTCCAAACATATGCCCTGCCACAGCTTTGAAAAGTACAAGGACTGCTTTGACAATAATTACACAGAGGGTAGAGTAGAGCCAAATTTGGCCTGGAGCTAAGTGCGCCGCCATGGTCTGCAGTGTTTATTGCACTGACTTGGAGCAGGACCCTTGCCTCTTTTTGTTTAAATGAATCATAACTTCACTTGTTCTCTGTGTGGGCATTAGAGAGGGGTTCTGCCGGAGTGTGTCACATTGAATAATGAGAAACTCAGCTGGAGCAGCGATTATGTTTACACAGGCATTCTCCAGGACAGCAGGGGAGATTTACTGAAGGGTCTGCAGGGCTGGTACATCCAGACAGAAGATGAGTGAATGGGTGAAATTTACCAGATTGGATGTTAGATTTTTTTTGAGCAACCAGCTGGCAGAATCCAACCCTCCACTGAAGAATATCCAAAACTCTTCCCATCTGTTTGTTTATCTGCATGTAAACATACATCCTCAAGTGCAAGACTTTCTCTGATAGTGTTGCTGAGTTTGGGTTGCTTCAACAAGTACACCTACTTCAACTTAACTCAGTCTAACTTTGATTTAATCATTGTAATGGCACACACTGATCAACCCAAAATTGCCAGAAGTTTGACATTTGACGTCAAAGCAGCATTCATGGCCAATTTTCTTTCTAATTGTTTGCATCTGTGCATGATAGTTCAGTGACCTACAGCACGTTTGTTTATTTATCACTGTGACACAACAAAATACGGTGGCCCCGAAGTACAAACCATGACCTCTCAGAAAAACATTAGCAGATCAGAAAACACAATATTCTATGTAACAAATTTACAAAACCAAAAACCAAAGTGGAGTATTTCCAGGTGTATTTTAGATAGCAAGATTAGCAATGTTGTAACTAGATTGATCAAATACCCTGAAAATCTTTTTTCTCAATCAGCTACTTACTATGTGCAGTGAGGTCCTACATGAACACACAATTTTCTAACCAAAATTGGATCAGTTTTGGTTTGTAACCTTCAAATATTTATAATTGTTTTAATCATACTGAATATTTTTATCGTGAAGTTACTGTGAAAAATCACAGTGAGGTGAATATGTGCCCATACAGAGATTAATATGAACTCTGCAGGGATACAAACCATTATTAGTGATGCTGTGTGCGTGTAAACCCTGTGATAGACTCACACTTCAGAACTGGCATCTCTTGACTGTCCTTTTATGAGAAATACACACTGATATGGTGGGAAAATTCTTTCTTTTTCCCCTGAGAATTTTCAAATTGTCAGTGGTGGTTTGGATTATGCTTGTGCCCACAGTTCACATACTGTCCTGGATATCCAACCAACCTTTGCTGTTCATTTTTTTAATTCAAGCTTTTTGGTTCTTTCTATCAAAATCTACTGTGAAACAAAGTTTATGTAAAGCATAAATACTTTGACATGACATCTCCTAGCTCCCAATGAGCCACATTCCTGCCTTTCCTTTACCTCAATTGTTGTCATTACCCCCATATTCCTATTTTTTCCATACCTCCTTTTTGTCACCTCGTGTATAGAGCGAAGAGTATTGAGTATACTTCTTCCTCCTCTCTTCTATTCTCTATATTCATAGGCAAACAATCATAAGAGTGTTCAGTAAGAAAACCTCAGGCCCCTCTCCTCTTTCCCATACTTAGATAGCTCAGCACGCAGGCATCCAGGAAGTATTAGGCTTATTCTGCCAAAAAGACTCCATTATAGGACGATACAGTGAAGCCAAGGCCGGAGAGAGGAGGAGGAGGAGGAGGAGAAGTAGTAGAAGAGAAAAGAGTATAGTGAACGGGTGAAAACAAAGGAAAAAAATTAAGTGAGGGTTTGTGGAGTGGGGGAGGGAGTGTAAGGAGAGACGGAGAGAACTGAGCCATGCAAGAGAAAGAGAGTGGGGTAACATTTTCCATTTCCCCTTCCCATCATCCCCCTGTCAAGACATCAACCGCTACCCGTTAAAGCTAATTCCTTCTCTCTGCAGAGGAATAAGGGGGGAAATGGAGGAGGACCGTGTACTATTGACCCAGCTGACTGCGATGAAACGGGCTAGAGGTAGTGGAAAACTTCATTTTAGTGAGGGCAACAGCAGCCCCGCGAAATGTGGTTCTGGTTTCACACTCCACGTTGTTTGGACGATCAAATTTAAGGAGATTTCAGACAAGACAAACAGGGTTAGACTCACTGTTCTGAGTTGGTGCCTTGAATAACGATTATATAACCTTTTCTGCTGACTTTAGTTTTATAAAAGAAAAAAGAGCAGGTTTAATGTCTGTCTTTACTCTTTTTTTACTGACTATGGCTACTTTCAGCATATCATACAGTATTTAACTCATAACTTATTGCTCTCATGCTCTTCTGTAACATCTTTATGGAGTATGACTTTTCACTTTTATTACACTGGATTGTTTTATTCCTTTTACTTTAAAGCTGCTCAAAATTTGAGCTATTATTATGAATTTTTAATAATAACTGTGAGTGAGAGGTGGAGATGCAACTTGTCGTCATTCTGGTCTACTAAACTGGTTTCTGGACTGAGGCTGACAGTGATGACTCATTGCTGTGCATGCGGTAATGCTCCCTTGCTGTTTCCATTGGAAAGGCCTTCTGCGTGTGATGGAGTGGTGTATGTGAAGATCAGCCACTTGACTAATGGCCAGATCATTTCCTGTTGTGTATGTCAAGCGTATGTGTGTGTGTGTGTGTGTGTGTGTGTGTGCACCTGAATAGAGGGGGGAGGGAGAAAGTGATGGGAGAAAAAGCAAACGAGAGAGAGTGAGGAAATGTCTGTGAGCGAGAGGAAAAGGCTGATTCATACCGCTGGAACAGTCGTCGCCTCTCCAGCCTCCCTCACATTGGCAACGGTCCGGAGCAACACATCGACCGTGGACACACTCCTTGGTGCAGCGAGCTGTTGATGAGAAACATACTTTATAACAGACCCAGCTTTGTGGAGACTGGTGGACTGAAAATATTCAGTATGCAATGGATTGTACGTCATCCAATGCATACTGAATATTTTCAGTTCAAGGAAGGTGCAAGGTGTGCTGTTATCTCAAGCTGCTGCACGGCACAGAGAGTACAGATCAGATGTAGAGGACAGTGGTTCGCTACTATTTTGGTCTTATGTACTCCAATAGCCCAATAGGAAGAGTTCCAGAACCACTTCACCAACAGCACCTGTCATGGTCCAAATGTGTTAACTTAAATCACACTGGATGTTATATAACACTAATACATTGTATAGTGTCCTCCAAGTTCAACACATGTGTTGTTTATCCATGCCCTCAAGAATGACACGTAGAGGCATTTTCTGATCTGACACCCCTATCGGCAGGATTTATGTGTGCCTTTCAAAACACTTACAGCTCTCTTTTGAAAAAGAAATCCATTTTATGATGTGACAATGCTATACGTAAAGTTTAAAGACGATTAAAGATTTGGGTTAAAATGACAGGACAAGATTAAGGGACCTTCAACGCCACGGTTACAATAATAAACACGAGATGAGGGTTATGGACCGATCATGGTAGTGCTTAAATAAACACGACTGTTGAACAGTGGTCTCCCGTGTTAAAGTCTTGTTGTGTCATCGTCTAGTCACTCCAACCTCCTCCCTATGCAGACTCTGTCACTGTAAAACGTCACCTGGCTCACTCCTTTGCACTCAACAAAATTACTACAGCGACCAGAGGGTTTTGTTACTTGAATGTAAATGTTTGAGGCCCAATGATTGATGCTGTTGTTGTGTTTGGGAGAACAGTCTCTTTACACAATTTTAAAATTCAGTTTTGGTCAAAAATTTAGGTGAAGTTTGACAGTGTTTCCCAAACAGTTGTTTTTTTTTTTTTCAGTACCCTGTTATTACCACTCACACTGCTTTTAGATGATTATATACTAATGAAAACATAGTTATGCATATTATATTCCTATATTGCCAAATAACCTCTTAAATGTTACACACTGGACTTTAAGTAGTTTTTACACAATCTCAATTGCAGCACCAGGTGTTACAACTGCAGTACAACTGACCCATAGCTAGCAGTTTCAGAGGTACTGGTATAAGAAATTGTATCTGTTTATAGGGAATTTAACTGTTATCAAAGAGGTCTATCAGACCAGTAAGAAAAATACTTGTACTTGCACCTCTTGTACAAATACATAAGTAACTTTTAAGTTAATATGGCAAAAGAACACTACTAAAACTAACAAATAAGTGAAGAGTATTTGTGTGTTTTGCTCTTTCAAATGAGAAGCACTTTAAGAAGAGTGCTACAGAAATGTTTATGATTGTTGTTATTATTATTAATGAAGACCATACTTGTGGTAAAATCCCTTTCAAAAGTGCACTGTTTCAAGGGTGTTTTTTTTTTTTTATTGAATCAAAAATCTATTCAACCGAAAAGCACTCTTTCCCTCTAAATGTATTCCACCCATCATAAACAGTGTATGAGCTGCCAGCGGGACAGCTGGGCTCAACCATACCGTTGAAAGCACCAGTGTTAGATGTCATTCATACTGTCAAGGAGCTTCCTCTTAGAAAGAGAGTTGTGTGCTTGCCAGCTTAATAAATGGTTCTGCTATTAATTAACTTAATTCAAACTTGCATTTATGACTGAAGACTAACAATTCTGCCAGAGATCTCTTCACTTTTTGTTGTGTTTTCTCACCCCACGCCACTGAGAACCACGTGCTGTATATGCACTTTCTTTCCATCCAAACACAATAATTTCACCGATTATTTTCCTTTCTAGTTGAAGGTGTGTGAATACTGGAGGCTGGAGATTTTGGTGATCTAAGAAAATGCTAACTTGTCATCAAATGAAGGAGGTAAGTATAATTATATCTAATTATATGTATTTAGAAAATAAAACACTGTACAGAAAGTGGGTTGAGGAGGAGTCATAGATGACACATTGAAAGCAGAGATATTTCAATTATAAAACTCAACAGCGATTATCTTTTCTGATGTCAGTCAGTAAAATCAAAGGCTTTTGTGTTTGAGTACAAAAGAAAAACTCTCTCTCACACACTCTCTCACGCACACTCTCTCTCTCACACACACACACACACAAGATTGTTAAGAAAGGTGGCTCAACAACAAGCAACCAAAAATGCATATTATCTCTGCTGAATGAAACACATTTATCTTCAAAATGACAGTTTTTCCAGCATAAAGCACAGAAACCTTGTTATTACCATCTGCCTTTCTGAGATCATCCACTGTTGTATGAGAAGGTTTGTAAAGCTAAGGTAGAATTTTCTCAGCCCATGCGGGGGCCATGTATGGTTTCACTTTATTTATATATGTCACCGCTGACTGTCAGCAATAACAGTGTGTCAGCAAACTGTTGACAGCTGCATCAGAACAAACTCTGTTTATTTGAACTACTGCTCCCATACATTGTTGGGAAATATAATGACAATTAACTTTACAGTAAATAACCTAAAAGTTAAGATTAGGATTAATGTTAGGTTTGTCACATAAAAAGCTCCATTTGTTAGGGTGACATCACGGCAACTGAGTCGGGAATCAAACCCATATGTAGGAATGTTTTTCCCTTCAAACATATTTTATCTTTATTTATTTATGGCTCTACATAACACACTGAATCCAAAGAACAACACGTTAAAGTGAGGACAGTTATTTCCACCATGGATCCCGAAACACAAAACATGTCACATAAAATTAAACAATAAAATCCCAAATTGTAACGGTACAAACTAAACCAGTTGTTTTGGACGACTTGATATTTATTGGAAGTTTCTGTTGTTCTACCCTGAGCTGTACAGGCTGCAGTGCCACCCCCTCTGAATCCATCAGTAACAGATGCTTAGGTGATGAAATACTTGTTGCTGAAATCTTCGAACTGAAATGAAAATATGAAAATTGCTAAAATGGGTGTAGGGGGGTTTTCAACGTGTCAGCAACACATAGTTTAGTTTAGTTTAAAATTCCACCTAGTACAGCTAATATAATGGGAATATTCAGCATGAGAAGCCCCAGTGGTAACTGAACCCATAATTGTGGTAATTCCAGTGTCATGTGCTACTTGTATTGACTATGCACATTGCATGGAAAAAAACACCAAAAAGAAACCTACTGTCAGTAACGAGAAGTTGAGTCAGAAATGTGATGACTCTGTTCTCTGTAACATAATTTAAATTGCAAACCACAACCTTAGGAGCCATTTTGGTGTTGTGCTGGATTGCTGCCAACATCATTGTTAGAAGGTTTACTTTATTGATCCTAATAACGGAATCTTTCACACATATATAGGGAATACAATCACACACTCAGAGCTTGTAAACATGTAAATGTGGCCTGATGGGCTGCCGTGTAGCGGTGCCCTGGGAACAAAAATGTTTCAACCCCAAATTGGCTCGTGAATCTATTTATACACAATGTTAGTTTGCATTGTTCAGCTGATATTCCTTTGAGTCTGGTTTAGAGGTGTGTACTGACCATGGGGTTATAGCTACACCCATGGGTGGGACCTGAGCCATAGCTATCATTGAGGTCATGTCCTCAGTATTTGTATCTTTCCTTTTATAGCAACCTAGCACAGTTACATGAAGAAATAGTCATTTATAGGCAGATTCAAGGGTTACTTGGACTTGTGACTTCAGTTTTTCTAAAATCCTACCCTACAGTCCGGAGAGGGATGAAACTACTGATTTATGAAAAACACAGTGTGTTTAATACAGTACCTGACAAAGAGACAATTTGGTCTTGAAACATACATTTTCTAACATGATAGAGTAAAAGAAAGTGGGGCGTTCAACAGTGTCCTTTGGAGTTTAAACAAGTTTTTTGGACACAGCATCTGGACAAGGAAGATATGTCTGTGTGTTTTGCACACCAATTGTTTGAAAGATTAATACATCAGATGTACACATACTGATTGAGTTCTGTTTACTTCTACAAGGCGAGCGCGAAAGCAGGTGGGGGCTTGTGGATGAGTGTGCTTCAGTGTTTATGGTAGTGATGGTGTATAAAACCCTGAGTTAAAACCTCTATGAACTCTAATAATTCCCTGCTGAAATATTTTCTTCTTCTTCTCCACTGTTCTACTTTTGACTTTCCTACTGTCTGTCTCAGTAATAAAAAAAAGTATGCAGATGAGTGGATTGTCAAAAGGTTTCCATAATACTTACGGACGCATTTGTCTCTGCTCTCGTAATAACCTGGACAGCACTGGTACCTCTTGCGGTAGTCTGTCTTGACCGCCTGCCTGTAGGCAGTCTTATAGGTGATCCTGAAAGAATAACACAGTCAAACAGGACACTTTGACCCTCCACTGGCAGGAACAGGAAGTCAGTCCAACAGGAAATGAGTCATCACGCTGCTGCTACCTGTGGCGCGTGCATCTGTAGGAGGTCCGAGGGTCCGAGCAGGGCTCCTCTGTCACATGGTCGTAAGGATGCGAGTAGGACTCTTTCACTGAGGTGGTGAAGCTAAAAAGCAGCACATAAAACAAAAATCATACACAGCCAGTAAAAACAGAAGTTATCAAGCTGTATTTGAAACATAATAGTTTATTTTAACATTTAATCAAGGACAGTGGTATTTGCCTGAAAAGTTGGGGATTGTTTTGCTTTGTTAAGCGTGTAGTGGCTGTGAGGGGAGCAATATCAGTCGGTCAGTCCACCCCTTTGGAACAGACTGAAATACCTTAACAACTATTGGATGGATGCCATGAAATTGTGTGCAGACAGTCATGGTCCCAATTAATGTTCCCTGTCAACAAGTAGTCGATTAATGGATATAGCTGATCAACAGAAAGGCCTCTATTGTAATAATGATTTTCTTAATTTTCTTAAAGCAAAATGCAAAACATCTGCTGTTCCAGGTTTCTCAAATGTGAGCATTTGATGCTTTTCTTTGTTATATGTAATAGCGAACCGAATATATTGATGTTATTATATTATATAATTATCATTATTATGTTCCCCTCAGGATGAACTCCAATAACTAATGTTGGCATGCTAACACAAAAAATAAGATTGTGAACATTCAAGGATTCAAGGATATTTTATAGTCATTCACAACAAGGTTGCATAATTAAATTTAGATATAGTTTTCTTCATGCTACCTACAAAAATGTATCATTGAGTCATAAAAATAAAAATAATTAAAAATAAAGTGTATTGCACTGCACCTAAATACAGCCTCACAGAGCTGCTAGCCTGGCTGTAGACTATTAGTCTTTTTTAAAAAATACATTAGAGGAACATCAAATGTTATATTAGTTGTACTAATACTGAATTCTGCAAATTCATAAAACGTTCACAAATTTAGCTCAGATGAAAGTAAAAAATCGAATCAATGCTACTAAGACACATCCTTTCACTTTTGTTGGATTTAGATGAACTGTTGCAGGTAATCTGAAAGCTATTCACGTAAACAGCTATGTATCTTGGATTGGAAAAAAAGTAATGGCCACGAAAAGGATGGCAGGAAACCATTTCTATTCTGCAAAATCGTTTCAATGGCAAAGAAGATGGTGAATTTTATACTGAGATTAGTTTCCCACCAGTAAAGAGCAATCACAGGAATGCTGGGTTTTTTTTTTGTTACTTGTGTGGTGAATGAATATCTTGACCGACTGCTGACCTTCATGAATCCTGAACCATAAAAACCTTCAGCGAGACGTAAGCAGAACTGTATGAGAAAATATGTTGTATTGGATATAGCAACAGCAGTTTATTTGTTTGTCACAGTCAAACAAGCCTCACCTCTCCCACAGACTGCACACATTGGGGTCCCTTGGGTTTAGAGAGTAGCTCAGACCAATCAGGAAGCTAAAAAGCAGCAGGACTGCGGAGCTCTGCAGAGTCGGCATGGTCCTGAGGGAAAAAAAGACAGACATTTATAGAGGGATGCAAAAACCCAAACATTTCAGCAAGAATGGCACACAGCCAAAACATATTTCTATTGTTATTAAGGGGAAAAACACAAAAGGCGGACACGTTAAAAGCAACATTTGTACAACGCAAGGCAATCTGGTTCTGCTTTGTTTAGGCCATGCTACAGAGGTGATGTTTTTACTCTATGATCATTTCTGAGCTTTTAAAATGTAATTTCATTATACTGTTAATTATTAACAATATTGTGTCCACCTCATGTATATTCTCATTTTAATGCTTAAATAAACCATTTTGATGAACAAAAAAATTACAACAAAAGCATGTATATATGTGTATTTTCTGAGTGTTCTTCCTAAAAAAAGAAACGGACTAGTCTTGAAACAGCAATAACAGCAATAACTTTCTAATAGTCTGTGAGGCAAACGTACGGTGGAAAATGTTGCACACACAGATGGAAAATGTACAAAAAAGTTCCATTCCTGCTCTAAACCAAGATTAACCTTAATTGTCTTTGTTTTTTATTTACTATAATTAACATTTCGCAGCATGATGGATAGAAAGATTCATTGAAAACTGGTTCTTGGTATCTATAAATTGCGGTTAAGATTTAGCCTCTGACAGTAAAAGAGTTCATTAAACGCTCAGCAGAGGTGAGGCAAAGAGCCAGACTTGAAGCGTAACGCTGTCTGCGCCCCGCTGAGCTCCACACCGTCTCAACAGGGCACATAAAACACACGCATCAGGAGACAACCTGACAGCAGTGAGGATAGATGGGGTGGAGTGAGAGCATAAGAAAGAAAGAAAACGAGAGTAGAGAGGGGGGATCACAGTTAAGAAATGTGACTCCTAACTTCATCTTGACCCCTATCAATCAGCGTTGCAGTGAAGCCTCCACACTCCTCTGCTGTCCCCTTCCACACTCCAGCAGCATCTGGATCTGATCAGTGCATCGGCCCAAGAGAGCGCCTCGACACGGGGACCGCGTTGGGCTCTCAGGGAGCAAAAGGGAGCCGATTTTTTCCGCTTGAAAATATCCAATAGAAATGAACAGAAGTTCAGCAGGCCAGTGGTGTGAGCCCTATGGTAAAAGTATCGTGGGAATGTTACGGCATTTCTAAAAAAAACGGGGACATCATGTTGACATAGTATGTTACCCTCTGTTTTCTCAACAAGTCCCGTCTGACAGAATTATTGTACCACAGCTTCTCATGTCATGCTTTCATGGCCTTAGGGGGATTTCTGATATGTTGGGACAGTGACATCGCACGGATCAAGACTCGTCTTTGGTCAAGTGACTCATGACAAAACATTTCAGATCTCAGAAGAAGGAGTGACAACAAATGCCTCTCTTACTGCTGAAACTTGAGGAATGGACTAGAAACGTCATTAGGATTCATCCATCCATGGATGGAGGGAATGTCTGTCCAGAATTTAATGGAAGTCCATTGCGGTGGGCAAACCAACCGACACTGCCATCCCTCGAACCAAGCTGGCATGGCTAAAAATATCATAGCCACCTCATGTTGAGTTGATTCTAGATCTAGATTAGGGTAAGATTTCGGTCAAGGATGATTAAGACATTTAAAACTAGATTTAAAAAACCCTTTACATTACAGATCTGACCCTAGCTGCTGGCAGTGGTTCCCATTGCATCACTCCACTGTCAAACTACATCCTTTTACAAGCCCTGTCTCCTTCATGTAATCCATTTGTGGTAGAGGTATGTATTTCTTTCACTTTCAATGCACATAAAAAGTCCTGACATTGTTGGCTCAAAAACAAGCATGGACTCTCCTACACAGATTGGGTCTTTTGTGAGTTGTATGACCACTTTCACCTGGCTGTTGTCTCATGAAAAGATTAGTTTAGGTGACTTAAACTTTGGTAAGAATTTGGATATGATTTTGATCAAGGTTAAGTAACTAAACTAAATCGGTAAAAACGTTATGATTTAGAGATTTGACCCTGGTTTCTGGCAGTACTTTATAGCCCTGTCTTCTTCATGTCCTCCATTTGTGGTGCTTTTCCTGCACATATTTGCATTTTAAGTCACTGTGCTCGGGAAATTTGGGGAAATTTCCTGAGGAGAAAAAGATTTGCCTGTGGCTGGTGAATAATACATTGCTCTAATACTGCCAAGGTCAGCGGTTTAACTCCCATCCGAGCCACTTCATGTATGTTTACAAAATGTGTTCTTTATGGTGCTTTGTAGAAAAGAAAACCAACCCCAGAATAAGGATGACTTGATATGCTGATTGTAGAAGCAGTCCACCATAAACACTCAATCAATCAGAAGCTCATTTAATAGATTTACATCTACATTAACTCTATCCAGTGGCTGGTTATCACTGCTGGAGATTTGGCATGGTGAGGACTGCAGCATAAATCATTGTGAGTGCACAGATTCTCTGCTTCTGATAAACTGCCTCTTACTACTCTCCTACCCACCGTCAGGAGTTAATTCACTTGCTGGCACAAATGTTAACGCCTAAGAAATCTGTGCCACAAAAACAGAATTTTATGAGAACAGGCATATGGCTTTTATTAAGAGGAGTCATCAACTTCACCAGCCACTTCATTGGACTGGGGGTAAATATTTTTCATTACCTTCTTTTCATTTTAATTGTGCTTCATTAGAGAAAGGCTTCAGACCGCATGGGAATTCTTAAACGCTGAGAAAGAGAGCTTAATGAGTGCAGACGGAGTTGTTTTGAAGTCGAGCTCAGCCGCTGTTTGCATTGCATGTTTGAGTTACCTACAGTGGGAGGGGGCCAGGTAGACGTCTGGAGCTCCAGGTGGTATTATCATCATGTGAATACTGGACTTGTCAAGGAGGCAAGCCTGCTTTTTTAGTGGAATAAAGGAAGGCAGGTAACAAAATTTTGTTTTTCACGAAACTCCACCACAACTGTGGACTGATTGATTCTTCGCCTTTCCTCCTTTCACATAATAGCCTTCTACGTTACAGCCCTAAGCTATCATTATTTCCTTTGAGCTTTTTCCAAACTGCAGCTCTGAACCTTCTCACTTGGACAAGCTTGGCCATGCAGCAGAAAAGCACAAGTAGCATAATGTATTGCAACAGTTTTTCCATTCAGTTTTGATGTTTAGCTAACAGCTAACTGGCAGCGATGTATGCACACCTCCACATTTCACATCCACTGGTGAAAGAGGTAAAGTCTGGACCAAGATCTGTGAAAAACCACAATAGTAGATATTTTGGTTTTGTTTCTAATGTAAAAAGCAGACAATCTCATCCAGCACAGTGAAACTTTCATGTGGCTTCATAAACCAATAGAAAATAGCAAAATACCACACACACAGGCATATGTGCATGCGCATGTGCACTTAAACACACCCATAACGCCGACATGCATGCGCACACACACACACACACTCTAACACCCACAGCTTGTGACTCTTTCTGATCATGTGTTTTCATGTTCTGGAGACATTACACACACACATCAAATGAGTCCCATACGCTGAAACGAGTTCAGAGAGAAACTATTTTTAGTATCTGAGGACATTTTGCTAATTCACTGAGCTTCTCTTGACTCATACTGTCAAGGCCCAAAGCGACGGCCCACGCGTACACGCATCGTACCAACTGAGGAATGCTGTGCGCTGGTTTAAGGGCCCGCAATGCTCTTTCCAGAACCGCACAGGGGCTTCAGGGAAAACAAAAGCCCAAATGAAAACACATGCACTGGTTTTATGTTAATCTTGGTAGACACTTGTACCCATGTTATTGCCATATTCTGTTTCAATCAAGAGCCCTTCAGGACACATAAGTGCTGACAACAGAAAAATTATTTTGATTCGATTTCATGCAAGAGAGCCATTTTCTTGATAGATGAGTATTCCCATCAGACTACATGTTCGTATTAGTAAAACAGTCAGGACAGAGAAAATGTAGAAACAAGACCACCTTCTCTAATGTGATTATCAATAGCATGAAGTAACAACAAACTGTTGAAGGACTAGTTCAACATTTTTGGGAACAGGCGGCTCATTTGTTTTCTTGCTGAGAGTTAGATGAGAAGAGTGACACCACACACGTCTGTCCATTAAATATGAAGCCTAAAGACAGGAAACAGGGGGAAACAGCTGGGCTGGTTCTGTCCAAAGGTAACAAACTCTGCCCACCAGGCCCTTATGGTGGCCCCTTGTGACTAATTAACACATTTTACCTCATTTGTTAATTCATAGAAAAACTGAAATGTAAAAACAATAACTTATAGTTATAGTTATATTAGGGGGTTATGAGCAGGGCTATTTCTTAGCCAAGCATAGTAACTTCCTTCCTAAGTCTTGCTGTCACCACAAGGCTGCTGGTTGCCTTATGCTAAGCTAACCTTAACTTAACGTAGGTCAGCTCAGTCAAAAATGACATGCAGATGGTCATAATGCCAAACCAAAGGCTTCCAAACCATACTCTACAAACCAATGGGTGACGTCAAGTTCACACTTGAGCATGTTTATCACTATCTTAGTTTAGAGTATATATAGAATGGAGGGGCATTAGTTTTGCCAGTATTTGGTCATTAACCAAATATTGGACAAACTGAAGGTGGCACTAGATAAAAGATCAGGGGATAAAACTTCTTACAATTATTCCTGAGGGGAATTTCTCCTGCAGTGTTTTGATTTTCAGGATTAAAACTAATAACCTGTTCCATAGAAAAGAGGCTGCTTTCATTATGGTGATATTTTAAGGAAATTAAAATGATAAAATGGTTCTCTAACCTCAGATTTCTGTCTCTCTATTTATTTCTCTGTAGTTGCAGTGCTAATTGAGGCAGAAAATATTAGTCACCCACTGGAAGGGAAAGTCACTGGGAAAATAAAAATAAAATAGATGGAATAACATATTGGCTGTGGTATTAAGAGAGACAGCGAGAGAGAGTAAGAGAGAGCGTCCAAATAAGAGTTTGTTTTCATGTTGAGGTGCTCTGATGTCAGAGTTTCTGTTTCTG